AATACAGAGAACAGGGAAGTTGGACTGCAGAGATGGCTTAGCAGGCAAAGGTGCTTACTGCCTGAAGACTGAGTTCAACCCTGTAATCCCCATGGTGAAAGAAAGAACAAGCCACGCCAGTTGTCTTCTGACCTCCACACAAGTGTAATGGCAAACACCAACACACAGACACATAGACACACAACACGAGAGAGAGAGAGAGAGAGAGAGAGAGAGAGAGCTGGGACATTTAAAACAAAAAGAAGAGTAGAATGGGGGCATTTGGAAGGAGAGCTCCAATGTGAAGGTAAGGCAGTCGGGCAGTTACAGTAGGACAGTGAGGGAGGGGTGAATAAGAACAGAGTACAAAGGTTTAGAGGGCTGGGACACTGGCAGAAGACCCAGGTTTGGTTTCCAGTACCACACAGAGGCTCTCACACACCTCTCACTGCATTTCCAGGTGATTTCATTCTTCTGGCTTTGTTGGGCACCTGGAATGCATGTCATGCCCCTACATCCATGCAGGCAAAACACTCATACAGATAAAACAAAAATAAGTGAATCTTTATATGAAGAGATATATCTATAGATGACATAGTGAAGCATTTGTGTTTTAAGGTATCTTTCCAACTTTGCTGCAAAGCACATAAATAGCAGGACTCATGCAACTGATAGAAATGGTCTTTCAAGAGCTCTTACCTTAACTTTAATCAATCTTAATACATTGTTCCCATTACAGAGGGTCTGGGAGACAGAGATGATTATTCCCAAAGTAAAGATTATAAACTTTGGTTTCCCATAGTAAGGGGAACAAGGACTATTTCTAATAGGAACTCAATGACTGGCTCTTTGACCTCCCCACCTCCCAAGGGAGGAGCAGTACTGTTAGGCCACAGAGGAGGACTTTGCAGCCAGTCCTGAAAATACCTGACAAAACGGAGTCATATGAAAGGGGAGAAGGTCCTCCCCTATCAGTGGACTTGGAAAGGGGCAGGGAGGAGATGAGGGAGGGAGGGTGGGACTGGGAAGGGAATGAGGGATACAGCTGGGATACAGAATTAACAAAATGTAACTAATGAGAAAAATAAAATTAAAAAAAAAATTATAAGCTAAAGTTTAGAGAGACCACCAGCTCTTTGAAGAACATACTGCAGGTCATAATGAGGTCCTTACCTCTTTCCATTATTAGCCAGGAATGGAATGCTCTGCTTTTTCTAAATTCTGGCCATTTGGTGGGGAGGAGTACTTTTTAATTCATTTTTGCTTTTCTATGAAATACTGCCTAATGGTTTTGCAATAGCATTTAATAAGTGATGTGCTATCCTTGGGCACTAGAATTAGCATCATTATTCAGAGATGGTAAACAGAAGTTTGCAATTGTGCAGTGCCTACAGCTGGAAGCATCAATAAAAGCCTGAGGTGGGAGGAAGAGATGAATGCACAGACTAGAATCAGAGGCAAGGGATGCAATTTGATGTGGGGTATTAAGAAATTCTGCCTGGGCTAGCAGAGGAACACAATCCTTCAAAACTCTGAGGCTGAACTGCTCAGATACGTTTCTCACACAGCTTTTCTTTCCTTTGCAGAGCACAAAAAGCAAGAACCTTGCCCTTCATATCCATAATTCTTGTTCATACTCGAGGATGCTTGGCATGTAATATTCTAGAAGCAATGTGCTATGAGTCTCTTTGACAATGGTTGCTTGGGGGCTAGGAATTTTAATCTGCATCCATGAGCTAAAGACATTTAAATTTAAAACTTCTGAGCAAATTTCTGAACAACTAAAAGGCTGGTGAATGAGGAAATGCAGACACTGGCCTCCAGCCTCCCAAATGGAAAAGTAGCAGTCTCGCAGGGTACAAGATAGGGAGAAGCGTGCCACTAAAGGCACACGTGTTAACCCACAGACAGAGAAAAAGACGAGACTATCACTGGTCCTAGGTGTGCTGTGTTAAAATGGGTGGCACTGATTAAAGAGCAGTTAGATATGCTTTTCTGGCAGCATTTTATATTTATAGACATCAGAATAAAAATACATGATGCTTTTTTATTTTTTGTGTCCCATGATACGCTCTGGGGTTGGACATGAAACAGTTTCTCTATTCTGGTATTTTACAAAGAGTGATAAATAATAACAATAAGAAAAGAACCACTTTCCAGGATCATATGATTAGTTCTGACATGTAGGAAATTGCTTCATTGCCAGGAGTCAATTTCTGCAATTGCAAGCATCTTCCCTTCATAAAACTAATAATAGGCCCAGCTTCCTTCCCTCTTGCACTTTACTATCCGCAGACTGAAACCTCCCTTTACCCTCATGTAAAGCCACACTTTTAAAATAACATTTTTTATTATTTCTAAAACAGTGGTTCTCAACCTTCCTAATGCTGCAACCCTTTAATATAGTTCCCCCAAACATAAAATTATTTTTGCTACTTCATAACTATAATTTTGCTCTTGTAATGAGTCATTAGGTAAATACCTATTAGGCAGGGTATCCGATATGCAACCATCAAAGGGATTGTGCACACAGGGAAAATCGAGAGACAAGCCCCCTATCTCTGACCCAGAACTTATCTCAAAATGACAACCACTGGAGAAGGAAATATTGTTTTTCTCCAGCGGACTCTTACTGGGTATAATATAAAACATACCTTAGAGCAGGCCACTGTTCTAAAATATGTAAGGACATATGTTATGGGGTCATGATGACTTCTGAAAATGTATATCCATATTCCTTTCACCCAGTTAATACCTGTTGAGCATTACAGTCAGGCACTTTTCTAGAACCTAAGAACATGATGATTCAGCGGGATGGTTCTAAATGAGAAAAACCATTCTGAGAGTAGTGTGTGCCTGGAAGGAAATGAACTGAAGCAGTGTCGTTGAGAGATGGCTCCCTTCTATGGCTTCTGTGTAGGCGTGGCATCTGAGCCGAGAATTGAGTGACAAGAAGTTACATCTGCGGGAAGGTGAGCAGAAGGAGAGGAAACTGAAAGGGTCCCAGCAATGCCTAGATCAAGTTGGGCTATGTCATGAACAGAGGCACAACCTGGAAGGCTCCTGTGAGGCCTTTGGATGGGAAATAAGGTCAGGCAGAGGCAAGAGAGTGGTAGATGCAACCTTGCACGCAGCAGTTGGTTTCTGAATTCTATTCTAGTGACAGGGGAAACTACCGAAGGCTTAAAGTCTTGGAGGAGTGGTTCCAAGGGCATGTTTTCAACATTGATAATGGCTCTGATTATGATGAGGGAAATGCGGACAGTGACATATTTCAAAGATGTGGCATCTTTACAGGGCTTAGAGGTTACGACTCTTTGCCAATATGGGTGAGGGAGATCAAGGACACAGCGCTGTGATGAACAACGAGAGTGAAAGTGGACTTTGCTATCAACATGCTCCATGCTCATAGGAACTCCACTGAGCTCACTCCACTCCTAGCTTCTCCATGTAAACAGGGATAATGATTTCTCCCAGTGTCTCAGGGAGAATTAAATGAGGCATCACAAAAACCACAGGGCAATACTAGTATCTGGGACTTGCTCAGGGTACAAACTGTTGTTGTTTTTGTCGTCAGTGTCATTACTTCAAGGAGAGTAAAGAATGAGCTGAAGAACCGAGCAACTACTCAGACACTGAGGCTAGACATGAACACTCTGTGTTTCAGGCCCTCTCATAAAGTTTATATATGCAATGGTAGAGTCTGAGTTCAAAAAGAGAATTGTTATATAACTGGAAAACTCCAGATGCTCATAAGCAAGACTGTGAATCAATAAGTATAGTGCATTCATGCAAGGAAATGCTTCATAGAAACAAATAATAGCTAGCTAGCTCACCCAGCACCAAGGATGCATCTCACAAAAACATTCCTGAGAAAGACTAGGCAGACGAGATGTCGTGCTGTGCAACTTTTGTTTGAGTGAAACCTGAGGATAGCTGAGACTAATTGCTGCTATATGCATGCTGTACCCTAAGTTGTTTAACTATGTCATTTCAGGGATCGGGGTTAGCTAGACACAAAAACAGATGGTGACTTCATGAACTCTTTACCCTTAGGACCCTTTGTGAGCATGTTCATTTCCAAGGCTGGTTCTCCATGTCCAGATTCTGAGGCTCTACACACATAGTCAGCCACAATGGGGGAAATGGACATAGACACAGATGAAGAAGGTTTTGCTTGGTGGGAGAGGACAAGCGTGGCATAGCAAACTGCAGCCAAGAATGGCTTTTCAGGGGCCGCTGAGAGCAGGTGGTTGTTTGCTCCTAAGCTTTTACCTATCCTAAATCTCTCTACATTAAGTGAAAGCTCTGGAGGCTGGACAGCTTCTTTTCTATACTAGAAATGGTCCCCAAGTCCCACAATATTCAGTAAAGTAACACGATTGAGGAATGGCGCGCATGTTCAAACAGTATTTTCTGGCATGTCAGTGAGGAAAACTTAGAAAGCAAAGCATGTGAATAGATTCATTTTCCTGATAGAACAACCCAAACCTCAATGCAAAAGTTATTAGGCCCTATCATGTAACATTAAAAATGCTTCCAGGCTACAGTCATCTGACATGGTGCCCAGGGAAAACTTTATCATCAAAATCTGCAATTTAAATCATGGACTAGCTAGAAATACATGCTCACTAGAACAGCTCGGGGTTTGTCTGTGTCTATCGCTGTGAAAAATGGTAGCAGAGAAAACCTTATTTTCCTGAAAAACACTATCAAATAATAAAACAATTCAGAAACCATTTTTGCAAAGTAATAACAGACCATACATAATTGATCACCTTTAGTGTTTGACTCTGGGTATTACGAATCCTCATTACTAGCACTTGCCACAAACTTCCACTCTGGATCCAGGCTGTCCATTTGCCACCACCGGAAATGATTTTTGTACCTTCACTGCACACTCACTATATTATTCTTTAGTTGCTCATATCCCAAGAATTCTTGCAGTGTGCACACAAGCATCCCAATGCTAAACAACAGCAACTTCTAGAGTCCGAATTAATATAGACTTATGATCTTACCTTAGGCTTGTGAAGGAATACAAACTATCTGGGGAGGAAAAAATGCACTCCTTGAAATCATGTCCTAGCAGCCTCCATTAAGCCAAGCATTGCCCTAAAAGCATAAAAGAAATGCTTCCATGATACCAACTCTTTGCCTTACCAAACATTGATAGCTGTATCCACAACATATAAATAAATAATTCATTCCTAAACTCTTCATGCATCAGGAGGCGCATAGCATTGGTGACTGTAGGAGAAGGTTTGAGCATTCCTTGGGAGTTCTGACTTATGCCTCAACCACAAAAGGAAATGTTTTTTCTCTCTCTCCATATATTTGTGTGTGTGCACACATACACATATACATATGAATATCTGCCTCCCACCCCACCCCCACTCTACATATATGTGAGTCACATGTAGTTACTGAGTCCTAGAGATCACAAAAATATGACTTTTGTGTTGTGATTATATGTGTGTTACATGTGTTGTGAGCATAAAGTAGACACAGATTTCAAAGACTGGCAACTAAAAGGGTGTAAAGTACATCAGGGTCAAAGACCTCAATAGAAAACCAGACACACTAAACCTGTTAGAAGAAAAAGCGGGGAAGAGCCTGGAACTCATTGGCACAGGAGACAACTTCCTGAACTGAACACCAACAGCACAGGCTCTAGGATCAACAAGGAACCTCATGAAACTGAAAAGCTTCTGTAAAGCAAAGGAGACTGTCATCAGAACAAAATGATAGCCTACAGACTGGAAAAGGATCTTCACCAACCCTATATCTGACAGAGGGCTAATATCCAGTATATATAAAGAACTCAAGATGTTAAAAAGCAACAAATTAAGTAATCCAATTTAAAAATGGGGTACAGAACTAAACAGAGAATTCTCGATAGAGGAATAGCGAATGACAGAGAAACATTTAAAGAAATGCTCAACATCCTTAGTCGTGAGGGAAATGCAAATCAAAATGACCCTGAGATTTTTACCTTACACCCATCAGAATGGCTAAGATCAAAAACTCAAGTGACAACACATGCTGGAGAGGATGTGGAGAAAGGGGAACCCTACTTCATTGCTGGTGGGAATATAAACTTGTACAACCACTTTGGAAATCAATCTGGTGCTTTCTTAGACAATTAGGAATAGTGCTTCCTCAAGATCCAGCTATAGCACTCCTAGTATATAACAAGTATACAACAAGGACATTTGCTCAACCATGTTTGTAGCAGCTTTATTGTAGTAGCCAGAATCTGGAAAGAACCCAGATGTCCCTCAAGTGAGGAATGGATACAGAAATTGTTGTACACTTACACAATGGAATACTACTCAGCAATTAAAAACAAGGAAAATCATGAAATTTGCAGGCAAATGGTGGGAACTAGAGAAGATCACCCTGAGTGAGGTATCCCAGAAGCCAAAAGATACACAATATATATACTCACTTTTAAGTGGATATTAGACATATAATATAAGATAATAATACTAAAATCTGTGTACCTAAATAAGGTAAGCAAGGAGGACCCAGGTAAGATGATCAATCTTCATTCAGAAAGGTAAATGGGATGAACATCAGAAGACGGAGAAAACAGGGAACAGGACAGGAGCCTACCACAGAGGGCCTCTGAAAGACTCTACTCAGCAAGGTATCAAAGCAGATGCTGAGACTCACAAACAAAGTTTGGGCAGAGTGCAGGGACTCTTATGAAAGAAGGGAGACATGAAAGACCTGGAGGGGACAGGAGCTCCACAAGCAGAACAACAGAACCAAAAAATATGGGCCCAGGGGTCTTTTCTGAGACTGATACTCCAAAAAAGGACCATCCATGGAGATAACCTAGAACCCCAGCACAGATGTAGCCCATGGCAGCTCAGTGTCCAAGAGGGTTCCCCAGTGGCAAGAACAGGGACTGTGTCTGACACGTACTCATGGGCTGGATGCACTGGCTCTTTGATCACCTCCTCCTGAGGGGGGAGCAGCCTTACCAGGCCACAGAAGAAGACAATGAAGCCAGTTCTGATGAGACCTGATAGACTTGGGTCAGATGGAAGGGGAGGAGGACCTCCACTACCACTGGACTGGAAGAGGGGCATAGAAGAAGAAGAGGAAGAATGGGTGGAATTAGGAGGTTACAAGGGAGGGGACTATAGCTGGGATACAAAGTGAATGAATAGAAAAGAAGGAAAGAAGGAAAGAAGGAAAGAAGGAAGGAAAGAAAGAAAGAAAGAAGGAAGGAAGGAAGGAAGGAAGGAAGGAAGGAAGGAAGGAAGGAAAGAAAGAAAATAGTTCTTTGAAAGCTGGAGAGAGAGTTTTGCCAGTGAAATGCTTGCTTTACAAAAATGAGTGAGTTTAAGTCTCAGAATGAATGTTATAAAGTAAAAATAAAAAGCTGGGTGTAGTGGCATACACTTACAATTCCAGGATTGGGAAGGCAGATACAGGCAGATCGCTTGGGGCTCACTGGCCAACCAGCCAATGAACTCCATGTCAGTGAGAGACCTTGTATCAAAAGAAAAAGAAAAAGAAAAAGAAAACCAAAAAACCCCAAATTATAATTCCTGAGAAACAATATCTAAGGTTGTGTACTGGCCTCTACACACACACACACACACACACACACACACACACACACACACACACA